ACAAACAAAAATATGTATCTATAAACGGAAATGATTTTATTCTTTAAATGTATGGGTGGTAGTAGCGATTGAATCCAGGGCCTTTGCACTGAGCTACATGCCTGGGCTTTTTTATTTTCCTATTTTGAAGCAGGATCTCACTAAGTCACTGAATTCCCCAGCCTGTGCTTGCATATGTGACCCTCCTGCACTGGCTTACCAGAGTGCTGGGATTATATGTGTCACCATGCTCAGCCTTTCAACTATGTGTAGACAAAGATGAGACCACTTCCAGTCAATGAGATGTGAAAAGGAATCTCCTAAGTGAGACTCTCAAGAAAGCTGAAAGTTTCCTGACCTAATCAGACAGAAAAACAACACTGGGAGTTGCGTTCTGCCATTCACTCTCCACAGTCCTGTACTGTAGATGTAGATGTACATACAGCAGCCACCCTACAGGCAAGAGGAGAAAAGTATACACTAAGTGTGGTAAAACAGAACACAAGAGGAGCCTAAATTCTGAAGGACCTCAGCAGCCCGACTTCTTGCACATGAGAAAAACATCTGTTTAGTCAAGCCATTGCACTTGGATTTCTAGTACATACAGCAGAACACTGGTATCTCACATGTTACAAATAGGTAGCATCACTTTTACCAGTATCTGCAGACCCTCCAAGTTACCTATGTATTAAAACAGAAAACTCACCAAGTCCAACTAAGACCAGCAGTATGTATTCAAGATGAACGTTCAAGGGATCACTGAGAGGCCGTGGTAACCTATTTATTTGACATAAGAATTAAAACTAAAATTTTGACTAGACAACTAATACTCTAAACCAGATAACTGAGTTAAATTCCATCCCAGTTTCTGATTTTATCGAATTATATGTAACAGCATGATTTTATTTAGAGTCAAGATCAGTTTTTTGTGGGTTTCTTTGGTCTTTTTGAGACAGGGTTTCTCTATGAAGTTCAAGATGGCCTTGAACTAACTTTGTAGCCCAGGCTGAGCTTAAACTTGCAGCGATTCTTCTGCCTCAGCCTCCCAAGTGCTGGGATTACAGACCCCACCACACCCAGCTAGGATCAGTTTATATGACTTCGTACTATTCTCATTTCATCCTTGGTACATAATCAGTACACTAACAATAACAACTAATAAAACCCATACCATTTGGCATTAACCTTTTATTTTTAACTTAGCTTTACAATAAACAGAAAAGAATTTGATCATTTAAAAAAATACCATAGCTGTCAATTCAAAATGAGGCTCTTGTTAAACAAAGCAGAACAGTATACCCTATAATTACATCTTTACTTTTATATACAAGAATTGTGTGCAAAGTGCTTTTCAAACTATAAAATAAGACTTTGGAGTAAGATAAAAATGGGTTATCCCTAGGAGTTAGCTACCCCTGACTGCTTATAATTAATCACAAAATTCTTTACAATCTTAACTTGCAATTTATTTATATACTAAGAGAACAACCACCATTCTGATACCAAACTGATACCTGGTTTTTGAAGACAATCCCTATCCACAGGTCTCAAATTGATTTCTACATATAATTTTAGTTATTTGCTTCATGTTTTTCCTAAATAGAGAACACTTTTTTTTATAACAAATATTAGTAGATCTTTTCAGACACACTTTAATTAAGATGGGAATAAAAAATAAAACAAGTTTCATGAAAGAAAAAAAGAAAAAATTGTATTCTCATACTTTTTCCAGTATCGGGAATAGAACTCACGACCTTGCGCTTGCCAGGCAGGTCCTGTGCCGCTGAGCTAAATCCCCCAACCCTCATACTTTTTCTTTAGGCAAATGAAGAACCACCTGTTATACTAGACATGGATTAATCCTGGCCCTCTTACTTAAACTTTGAACACATGAAGCTAAATCAACATCATAATACCTACAATTCTTAAAACTTATTTGCTACAAAATTTTTCTTTTGTTTTTTGTTTTTGGGTGTTTTTTGTTTTTTTGAGGCAGGGTCTGGGCTATGCAGTCCAGGCTGGCCTTGAACTCACAGCAGTCCTCCTGCGTCAGTCTCCTGAGTGCTGGGATTACAGGCATGCTCCTCCATTCTTGGCTTGCTACAAAGCTTTTGAATCAAAGAAATTTTTAAAGCACAAGGTATACCTAAGTGTGCAAGGAGCTTTGGGAAGTATACAGGAAGAATGACTCTCTAAGTATAGTCTTCAAGGATCTAAATAACAGTCTTCCTTTTACTTGAGGTGAGAGGTGGGATGCAGGGAATTAAATTTCCATTAGTTGGGCATGCATTAGTCACATGGAAGCAGATGGCCCATTAGCTTGTAAATCCTTCCAATACCCCTGTAAGTAGGTACAGCTAAATATTATACCCTAAAGAAACAAGTGAGGCACTAAGAGGTTAAGAGTCCAGTCTGTACAATTCATCAGTTGCAGAAAAGTGATTTTCATGTTTCCTTTTTTTTAACTTTTATAAAAACAGTATAAATATGTTTTCATTTATATTTCAAAGCACCCTATGAAGCAGACACTAGATATCCTCAGTTAAAGCAAAATGATTACAAAGGAATAAATCTGTATGACTGAATTAAAATCTTATTAGTCATCTGCAGCCTCAGAATACACTTTTAAAACTATGTCAAGCCCATTTTTCATCACTGCCATCAGCAGGTTATGTCTATTCTGTGAATCATTTTAAAAACAAAGGCCAGTACAAAGAACTGTAAAGTTAAATAATGAGGCCTAAACTGATTTGTGAATGCCCAAGATTATATGCAGCCCACAATGTGAATGCAGAGAAGATTTTCCAGCAATTTTCTACTGCTTGACACAGCAATTCAGTGACTGATAAAACCAATATAACCCCATTTGAAATTAAATCTTGGATTGCATTCTTTCTCATATTCAATTTACAAAATAAAAAATATCCACTTATAAATCTGATCTCATTATTACAACTGTACCTTGGAAAAGCAGCTTATAATTCTCTATGGTAGATAATTAGGTAAACATGTTACCAAACAATAATTAATAATTTAATGTCCTTCAAGTTCAAGGGTAAGGTAAATCTATATATGCTACTTATAATTTAGTTGAGATTGATTATTCAAGTATCAGAAATATTAGTCCTTAAAATGTTATCATTTGTGTAGTGCAAAAAATATATATGTATATATGTACACAAACGAAACTACTGGACAACAGAAAACAAATGTAATTAAGATTTTCTTGTGAGCTCCAAATCCAGTTCATTCTGAGGTCATCCAGGCCCAGCAGTCTTCAGGAAAACATCGTTTTCTTCAGTTCAGTTTTCTTAAAAAAAAAGTAAAACCCAATTTTGTGTGAGTATAAATGCAACCTGAATATGAAACACATCCAAACAAAACCATTCTCTGGATGATAATACAGTATCATTCAAATTGGTCCTTTTGAAATTATTTTATCTGTCCAGTTGGAAAGACCTAATTGCAGGGGCTGAAATGATCAAACAGTATTTAATTTAGTGCAGCAGGTTGAACCCAGAGTCTTATAGCTCTACCAATGAGGTATATCTCCAACCCTCGAACAGTAGGGTTTATTATTTTGTTTTGTTTTGTTTTGGCTTTTTGTGGTTTTTGTAGTACTAGGGACACAGGTTACAGTACTATTGTGGTTTTTGTAGTACTAGGGACACAGGTTACAGTACTATTGGACACAGGCATCTATAATAATCTATATCCCCAGCCCTTTTTTATTTTTTATTTTGAGACAGTATTACTAAATTCTCTAGCTGGGGCTCAAACTTGTGATCCTCCTGCCTCAGCCTCCCAAAGTACCAGGATTACAGATGTGCACCACCACACCTAAATTCTGCTTTTAATAAATAATTTAAATCTATATTCCTCCTCTCTTACCTTCTAAATTCTCATCCTTTTCTAACTGGCTAACTATACAATTAATATTTAGAGGAATTAATGCACAATTTTATCAAAACAGGAAAGTTGTGAAATCAAAAAGCTTAACAATCTACGTTATTCCTTTAATCACATATCATGTAGCTATTATTTTCCAGACATTGTGCTTGGCACCAGGGATTCAAAGATAAATGAAGCAGACTCTTAACCCTCGAAAGAGCTTGGTTTAATGACAGGGAAGGTAGTGATGTATAACCCAGAAAGTGATGTATAACCCAGAAATTTTAAGTCCCTGCATAGAACATCATGCATAGGACATGATGGTTTTAATGACAGCAGAGTGAATGAGCTACCAGAAAAGGGTAGGCTTTTTTTTGTACCAGGACTCGAACTCAGGACCTTGTGCTTGCCAGGCAGGCACTTGTTCGACTGAGCTATACCCCTGGCCCAAGGGTAGGCTTATTAGCATAAAAAATAACAATCACATAGGATCCGAATTCTGTGAATTCTGCTTTTCCTCTGCTGTAAAGTCTCCAACCCTTTCCCAGCACTCAAAATGCCTGAAATGTTCGCATTACAGATTCAGTGAGTGATATCTGAAGCAATCCTCTTATGAACACCTGCATGGCATGAGTGCCATTTTTTTTGTTTGTTTGTTTGTTTTTTTCCAGTACCGGGAATTGAACTGATGACCTTGTGCTTGCCAGGCAGGCGCTGTGCCGCTGAGCTAAATCCCCAGCCCCATGAGTGCCACTTTAAATAATCAAATCAATTTTCACCTAACAAGAGGAAACCCCTACAGTAGAAAAAAACACAGGCTCTCGATGAACTGAGATGGTTAACTAAGACAGATGGGAGTGGTTCTAAAGACAAAGTGCCTGAGTGAAGTTCTAGCAGAAATATTAGGTGCTGAACACGCTGCTGAAACACTGATAAGTTTGCAAAACTTATCAAAACCCATGGAGTGTACTTTGCTATACAAGGTTCTTGGAGATTTTATTACAATCTATTAATGTAATAAAATAAATATAAATCATTATCTTCAGAACTTTAGAATGTTTTTTCAGGCTCTGAATGGGACCTTTCTCTAGTTGTGTGTGTGTGTGTGTGTGTGTATGTGTGTGTGTGTGTGTGTGTGTGTGTGTTTAACTTGCAAAATGGACAGTTGACCGTCATCGCAAAAGAAAAGCAACAGAAAACAACAGAAAAGGGAACAGGAATTAACTCTACCATTCTCCTCACTCAGAACTCTATGCTGCTGTACGCTGAGATTCTTTTAACATAAACAGTGAACATTTGTAATGATTCACCTAAGATCATGTGCACTTCAGCCTGTCTACTGTAAAGTATCTACTGTAATTTAAATTGTTTTTAAATTTTTCTCTGGTAAAGGAAAAGTGTACCTGTGAAGATTTAAACTTGTAGATTTTTTAAATGTGTTTACTGCACATCACTATCAAGTGCCCTATTGCTATTCCCCATCTGTCATTACTTAATAGGAACCGGTGATGAAACACTGAAAACATATTCAGCGAGGCCACAAAGTGAAGTAATGGTCGATCAGTCCACACATCCATGCAAAGTAATTCAGTTTCAGTAGTGTCTAAAAAAAGACCATTTTTTTAGGTTTGAAGATTTTCTTGAACACAAGGGCTTTGGCCTCAGGTTATCACCAACGAACTCAGGACACTTTCAGAGATTCTAGTCAATTATCCTCAGACCTATCTCATCACAAATTGCAACTCTGGCTATCACCTTAAAGTAATCCCTAATTCTAAACAGTCAACATGAGGCTGAAATCTTTCTGAAATGTCAGTGTTAACATTTAAAGGTATATATAGAGAAAGCAGTCATTATTTGCTACCTCTCCACTGTCGATTATATCACAAAGAGCTCAAATTACATTTCAGAGTATAAGTACATTTTTCTGTATGCCAATAAATTTAAGTTTTTAAACATGACACATAGTCATGTTTCTGTATGCCAATAAATTTAAGTTTTTAAACATGACACATAGTCATGTTTTTGTATAAATCAAAGGCATACAAATCCATCAGATGCTACTAAGTGAAATTCTTTTAGAGTCTAGCAAGTACTTAAATATCATTTGCAGGGTAGTGCTACTCTCAGGATCAGTATAGCATGTTCAGTATGACACCATATCTAGAAAATGGACCTACCCCCCTTATTTGCTGCTACAAGTTTTGCCTATGGGTTATAAAAGTATATACACCATTTCAAATTATACAACTATACTGTTACCTTCTCCTTCTTTGATAATATAAATGCACCAACCATTGGGCAATAAAAGGCCATATAATAGCAAAAGTTAATGCACCAGGAGACATCTCAAAGGGCCACCAAGACGGTCTCTGAGAAAATAAAATAAATTTATCACTAATTTATTCAATATTGCATGTATAAACTTAAGAACATAAATAATAATTTTAAAAATATAAAACCACTAACAAATCTCACTCCTGTTATGCTACATTTCAAAGCATAATTCAAGAAGCAGACTTGCAGAAGTACTACAAACTTAAATAAACACCCAAGAGTATTTAGTAAAACATACAATTCATTTGGAATGCTTTAAGAATCTCATATAATCTAAATGTATTGTAACTGATTTGAAAACCTAGCACTTAAGATTTCAGAAAAATTTACCTGCGAGGACTGATTACTGGGCTGCAATGCTGATAATTTTGCCTATAAATAGAAATGAGAGTGACAGCCTTAACAAGATGAAAATACATATAGTAATGTTTCTATTTCCTAAACTATTAGCTTATTCTGTTTTTCTGCTAAGTTTATCTTGACTATCCTGAACCCATAGTGATCAAAGGACAGAGTCTCTAAAACTGTGAGTGGAATAATTACCTTTGGTATTTTATGTTTCAAAAGTTCAAATTATACAAAAATATCACCATTAAATCTCAAATCTGTTTAAGCTGATTTCTTATATAGTCTTATTATCTACTCAATTCTTAACTCCTTTTGTTTCCATACAAGCCATCAATGTACAAACACATTTGAGAACTGCAGCCTTGATAATTAATTAAAATGAAGACTGTGAACAATATCCAAAGACTAGTCTTTGCAATTCATGACAAGTTATAGCAGAAAGCATATGCTAGATGTAAGAAACAAACTGCTGATACTATAGATCATTAAAGAAGTACTGTGTGGTAGTGCACACCTGTACATCAGCACTCAGCAGGCTGAGGCAGAAAGACTGCCACAAGTTCAAGGCCAGCCTGAACTAAATAGTGAGAGCCTGTCTCAAAAAATAAAAAAAATAAAAATTAAAAAATTTTTGAAGGTATCAATTAAGCAGAAAAATTTAGGACATTAAGATTCTAAGTTGGCAGATTCCAAAGATAAGTTTCCTTAGAGATAAGACATACCAGAGGAAAGAAAGCTTGCAAGCAATTCTAAATGGAGTGGCCAATGAAGGCTCAATACTGTGACTTGGGAAACAGCCTTCTATACAGAAGTAACGTCAGTTCAAAGGCCGAGCAAGGGATGGAGCACATGTACTGCCATGTTCCAGGAGCAGCTACAAGGACACAGTGGTGATGCAGAGTAACAACAGGAAGAAAGCTGAGGCAGGCTTTTAAATTTCTTTGTTATGGGTAACATGATTTCTAGGGGCTCCAATGACTGTAGCTTACACGTGAAGCTAAATGAGATGTCCCTGAGGATTGCATTAGTCCTTGAAGACCACTGAGGTGCTAAAACAGTTAAGTTACAGCTCTTGTATACTTAAGCGGAATGCTCCAAGTGCTTAAAGAATGATGACAAGGTAACAAATACGCTGATAGTTGTAATCCTGCTTTGTAGGTATAATGTATTCAGTCAGAAATTTACCTATGGCTCTCCAGAATAAATGTAGTAAAGGGCAGACTTACAAACACTGGGCTACCCAATGTCACATCAGTATGATTCCGAATGGAACTCAAGGTGGTCAAACTCCAATGTGACAAGCGTAACTACCTACTCTGCATTAAAGCAACAACTACTAACAAATGCTAGGGATGAATGAAAACTACTGAATGGAACTATACATGCATATTTGTCTAAGGAAAAAATGATCTGGAATAACAAGGGAAGATTTCTTGTTAGTAACCAGCACTGCCAGCACAATTTTTAAATTTTATTTCATTTTCAACTATTTAAAATGTTTTTGCCAGGCGTAATCCCAGCACACCTGTAATCCCAGCACTTGAGAGGCTGAGGCAGGAGGACTGTGTGAGTTTGAGGACAGCCTAGGCTACACAGTGAGTTCAAGGCCAGTCTGAACTACATAATGAGACCTTGTCTCAAAAAAATAAAATGTTTTTTCAGTGCTGGGGATTGAACCCAGGACCTTCTCAATGAGCTACATACATCTGCAGCTCTTTTTGTTTTGAGCCAAGACCTCACTAAGTGGCTAAACTGCCCAGGCTGGGTTCACACTTGCAATCCTCCTGCCTCAGCCCGCTAGAGTCCTGGGCAGACCTGCACTACAACTTCTGGTTTTAACTTAAGGTTGTTTTTGGCTTTAAAGATATTTAATCATAAATATCAAGTAGCTTGTATATAGCTCCTACTTATATAGAAATCTGTTTCATCATTTCATCTCACTATTATTACTATAGATTACTGGGGGTTTTTTGTTTTGTTTTAGGATCTAAAGAGCCTTACACATGCTAGGCAAGCACTTTACCACTTAGCTACATCCCCAGACTCTTCCCAACTTTATTTTTCCTTTTGAAAGGAAAAATCTCATATAACACCAGTTGAGAACCCCTACTTTGAAAACTCAAAAATCCAAAGTGCTCTAAGATCTGCTGAAACCTTGAGGGCCAGTATGATACTCAACAGTTTAACAGGTTTTAGAATTCTGGAGCATTTCTGATTTCAAATTTCTAGGTGCTCAACTGGTAAAGTCTGTGGAAATATTCCAAAATCTGAAATACCTCTGGTCCTAAACATTTTGAGTGAAAACACTCAGTCTGTAGTAATCACTGCAAAGGAAATGAGCTGACCTATCTCTTCCTGTGAGCCTTTTTCTCTTCTTTTAGTACTTCCTCCAGAGATAGCTTCCTAGCTCTATTCAAAACAGAATGGCAATCTGCCACAGTTGAAAGACCACTAGCCTACGACACAGGATGACTGGGTTCTGTTTAAGGTTTTGCAACTGACTAGCTATATTTATTGCCTTTCCTTTTCTTTTCTTTTTCCGTTTTATTTTGACAAGACTTGGGGACTGAACCCAGGCTGTTGTACTGAGGTATATCTCTAACTCTTTTCAGTTTTTATTTGGGAATAAGGTTTCTCTACATTACCCAAGCTGGACTCAAACTTGCAATCCTCCCCCCACAACCACACAGAGTGCTAAGATCACAAGCCTGTGCCATCACGCCAAGCTCTTGGTCAGTCTTTCCTAAAACAGTAGTTTTAAAGAGGTTCTTTTGAATTTTTTAAAACAATCACTAAAACTTGTGACCTGTGTAAATCTGATCAACAGAGACTGCACTGCTTCACAGGACTAACAGACAGAAGATGGCACGGCAAAGGTGGAAGCTTACCTGCGAAGCGGTTAGTGCTTCCAGTTTATGAAGCCTCTGCAGGACGTTCTGCATGTCCTCCTGTAACCGCATGAGCACGAGAGCAATCTGCTCATTGAGGCTGCCTCGGGAGCCCCTGTCTGAGCCCCGGCGCTCACCATCACCCCCACTTCCCACTTGTCGGCCTTTGGTCCCCTCACTCAGATGTGGCATCCTATGCCCTATTTGAAGAGAGGGAAGTAAGTCAGTTTTATTCATGTGTTTTAGTCATTTTCCTGTTTTTAATTTGAGATCTAATCTCCAATGTACAGCAGAAGCTACCAGGAAGTATGTAAAATAAACTTCTAGCCAGGCACATGCCTGTAAGCCCAGCACTAAGGAGGCTGAGGCCAGGAGGATCGCCATGAGTTTGAGGCCAGCCTGGGCTACATGAGTGAGTGAGTTCAAGGCTAGCCTAAACTACACAGTAAGACCCTGTCTCAAAAAATACCTCTTAGGATTAAAGGATTATATAAACTATGTATATTGATGTATTCATAAAATTTTTTTCTAAGACTTCATACATAACAGGCTAGTACGTGACTATATACATATAACTCACAAATAATATATGTGTGCTAAAAATGTCTTTTAAAAAAAGGTAATGCCAGCTGTAGTAGGGCACACCTGTAATCCCAGCACTTGAAAGACTGAGGCAAGAGGTTTAACATGACTATGATGCCAACTTGGGCACCTAGTGAGCCCAAGACCAGCCTGTACTACATAGTGAAACCCTGTCTCTAAATAATAATAATAGTAAAATTAAAAAAGGTAACAAGATTGGAAAAAAAAAAAGCCCAGAAGACCAGGCATGGTAGTGAGTGCTTATAATCTCAGCACTCTGGGAGGCTGAACTAGGCGGACCACAAATTTAATCCTGGGTAGGCAAGTTAACAACTTAACAAAACCCAGATTCAAAATGCAAAAATTTTAAAAAGAAAATTAAAGGGCTGGGAATGTAGCTCAGTACAAAAGTCCTGATATTATAAAAGACCTGACACTATAAAAAAAAAAATTTTTTTTCAGTGCTAGAGATTAAATCCAGGGTTTCATGCCTGCAAAGTACACTATACCATGGACAATAAATTTTTATAATAGCCTTAACTATATTTCCTCTTAATTCTTTTTTTGATGCTATCTATTCATTTCTTACCAGAAATAATCAAAATGAATACATTAATTTTCTTTCTCACTCTATTATTTGATCATATTGAGTTTTTGTTCTTTTTTGTTTTCACTACTGGGATTGAACCTAGGGCATCTGCATTAAGCTACATTCTTCAGGCTCTTTAAATTTTATTTATTTAATTTTTTTTTTGGTACTGGGAATCAAACTTAGGCACTTGCCAGGCTAGTACTTATGCTGCTGAGCTACATCCCCAGCCCCTTAAACTTTATTTTTTATTTTGAGACAGGGTCTTGCTAAGTTACCCGGGATGGCTAGTAGGATGTGAACCTACTGCCTTAGTCTAAGTGCGATAACAGAGATTATGGGTATGAGCCATCATACCTGGTGATTACTATTATTATATTTATCTTTCTATTGTTAAACGATCTTTCATTCCTATTTTTGATTTGTGAGCTTTAAATTATCTCTTTTGACCTAAGTGGGGAAATGTGAAAAAGATAATTCAAATTTTACCTATAAAGGGAATAAAAAGCACAGCTAGAACAGTTAGTGAGTGCTTAGGGGGCAGCAGAACAGAAATATGACCACCTCCAAAAACTGAATAGAAGATTCAGAAAGAGAAATATTTTCCCTGATACCTTCAGAGAACACAGCGCTACATGCATGGAGTCAAAGGAGAGAACTAGACATAAAGAAAAATTGTTATGCAAGGGTAACATAACTTTACAGATAGCCTCAACATGCTGCAAGTCCTAGTGACTCTTCTAAGTAGAACTGCTCCATTTTACTACTTTACAGAGCTTAGTTCTCAGGGTGAAAACAGTAGTACTTACCTCTCGCTCTTCTGACATTGGAGAACTCCTCACTCTCTCCACCTCGCTTCTCATGGTGTGGTGCACCACTGTTACTTCTGCCATCTTCTCCTCCATGCTTCACTTCCCCTTTTCCTTCAACTGCTACCATCTGCACAGTCCCAATGCTGCCATTTCCAGGTGGTACTTGAACATCTTCAGGAAAACCAGAATTTTCCAAGGGCATGTTGGGATCACCACTCACGTAATACTGAAATGGTCCATTGTTTGACGTAAAACTGTCTGAAGACTACAAATTTAAAATATCTGATCAAAAACTAGAACTATAATTTATATACCACAGAGTTTCATGGTAATCGAAATAATGTTCTTTCATGTTATTATTAGAAATATTCTTTTTCTAAAAAATTTCTTGAATTCACATTTAACTTCCTATATGTAAGAAAGAAATGGGGTACAGGATGTTTCGTCCATGCATGAAGAACTGAGATGCTTTGGCAGCGAATTCTTCTCATAAGTCAATCATTTATCAAAGAAATAGGTAAATCCCTGCAGCGTATGATCAAAAAAACACACTGAATGTTTAAAGAATTTTTAATTCTTTATTACAGTAGAAGTCACGCTGCCATTTTCTGAATTAGTTTCAGAAGAACTTTTCTGCGTGTTCAGTTGCATTGTCCTGGCTGCCTTGATTCCTGCATCCATTCAAAACACAGATTTTTCATGATCATTTTGACTTTAGGAAAGAGCCGTGAGTTGCACAGTGCCAGAACACCCTGCACTGTTTTTACTTGACAGAAACTGCTATGAACATTAGACCAACAAGGAATGACCCAGGGCTGTGGATTCAGCTCTATGGCATAAGTGCCTGCCTGGCAAGCGCAAGGTCCTGAGTTTGATTCCCAGTACCAAAAACAAAACAAAAAAACAAGGAATGACCATAAAATTTGGTGAATATTTTAAAAATTGATTACGATTTTTAAATTGTAATCTCTTATAGCAACCAAAAGACAAATTGCTATTAATCCCCCTAAAACATATTCCCCCTCACTTTGAACACATTTAGCCCACCATTCTTGGGCTAAATTATTATTATTATTATTTTTACCATAGTAAAATTTTTTAAACACTATTTTTTAATCACTATTTGTGATACTCATCTTAGTTACCAGAATAAACTCAAAGAACACTACAAAAAAAGAGGTAAGAATCCTGCTTACAAGAAGTTCACAGCTTTAAGTAAACGGAGCCAGTAAAGACTATTACATTATCACTTGGTAAGTTATGAAAAAGATACGCTACAGGAGCTCAAAGTAGGGGCACCTAAACCACACTGGGGTTGGGAAGAAGGTGGCCAGGGAGCCTTTGAAGAAATGATAGAAACTATGACTTGAAGAACAAATAAGAATAATCTAAGTGAACGATGTCATAATAATGATAGCATGAATAAAATACTTGAGATATAGGGTGATTTGAGAACGCTCAACATTAAAGAATCAACATGACTTAAAGGCTAAATATGGGGAATGAGGAAAAGTCTCTAGGGACAATTTAGCGATACTCATCAAGCTAAGAAATTCTGACGAAAAGGTTTCAGGAAAACAGAAAGACAATGGTAGTTATAGGTAAGGTAAACATGAGATCTCTAGGGATGTCTAGAAGGGCACCTGGCATTTGGAAGAGAAATACTGGATTTATCACTTCTGGAGTCATCAGCCTGTGATGGTTGAAACCAAGGAAGCAGTAACTAGGCTCATCTTCCTGAAGAACACTAAACTTAAGGGGTCAACAGAAAAAGAGTAACTCACGAGGAAGCCTACAAGAAACCTGCGAAGTTGAAAAAAAACCTATCACACAAAAGAAAGTGTTGCAAGAACAGTGCAATGCAACATTTTCAAGAAAAGATGTGTTGGAATGTATGGCAGAAATCTGACTAAAATAAATGAATACAATATATAAATACAAACAACAAACAGCCAGGTCATAAAGTGAAGGAGAGAGGTTAAAAAAAAAAGGGTATCACCAAGCGAATATTTTCTTTCAAAGATGGAAAGGCAGGCTATGATACGTGTACAGCTTGAGAAAAAAGAAGCGGAAGAGAAATAATTGTTGGGGATGGTGTAGAGAGGGTAGAAAAGATGAAATCCCAAAGAAGTAGGAGGACGTCTGCAATCTAGAGAAAATGGCCTTAAATGAGAAGACCCTGTCACCCTCTCAGGTAACAAGAAATGAACACAGCAGTTTATAGTAAGCTAAAGAAGTAGCAGATGACAAAAGTATCTGAAGAAATCAAAAGACGAGGTGGAATTAGACTGATGACCACACTGCCAATTCCACTGGCACTAAAGCTTTTCATCCAGCATGGTCTGCAGACCCCCAGTAGCAGCATTAATGGGAACTTGTGAAAGTGCCCATCTTTTAGAATGTCCACCTTAAGGCTGGGCATGGTGGCACATGCCTGTAATCCCAGCACTTGGGAGGCTGAGGCAGGAGGATTCATGAGTTC